GTTCTTAGCTTTGACGTAAGCTTCCTCCCAGCCAACGGCATTAGGATCCCTCCATGGTGAAGGATAGTGAGGAGGTGAGTGTGCGAGTGTATCTCTCGTGACAACCTTTTGAGTGTCAGTATTCTGGTCAACAACCGTCACAGCAGCCACCGTCGCGCATAACGTCGGTATTAGTGAAAGGCGCATTTTTGCGATTGAGCCTCTCGAATACAAAGTTTATTCGAACAAGGTTTGAGATTGAGCAAGCGGTCAATTGCGCCCAGGATGGTGGTCTAGAGGCAGAAGTAGACAGCCACGCAGATGCACACTTGAGACGCAACTTGATGTCGACAGACTCAATGAGGGACTGTCTCGGGGGTTTTTGTGTAGGCTAAGGGCGTTGACGATTGCGGAGGGAAGATCGTGAAAAAGGAACAAGGCTGCAAGGGAGGAAATGATATGATCGTGATTTAATGCGTAGCGTCCGAGCTAACAAGGGCGATATGGTGACAAGGCTGAGATTAGATGAGGAAATGGTAAAAACTGACCTTGACGCCAGCCAAAGTGTCTGGAACTTCAGAAGCAAGTGCAACTGCACCATCAGTGCCAGCAGCACCCAAAAAGAGGGCTGCGGCGACCCAATTCAGCTTCATTATGATTGTGTCTTCCTATAATATATTTTCTATAAATTTGGTGAGCCTTTGTACCTGATAAGAGGAATCAATGTCGTCGATTCAACATTGAGGGAGAGTAAACTGACAGGCTAGTCCAATATATTGAATGAAGGGACCAAAGTTAAAGGGAGCAGGCCACAACGAAGAACTTATCGACGAGTGTGAAGAAACAGGAGAAGCCTCAGAAAAGAGGTGGTATTTAACATTTATATATTCACAAATTAAACATTATCACCACGTGCAGCTACAGCGAAGAACACGCACGACAGCTGCAGTGTAGTAGTCTAAGTTCAGTACATATCCAAACCCTGTCTAAATGCTACTCCACTAACAAGCACCGGACACTGCACATCCCTTCCCTCACGGACGGGGGCCGCCTCTCCCGAAGCTTAGCAGAGATTAAAATTCACTGCGAAGGAGGTTCATCGTCATCAAATTCAGTGTCAATGTACCCCACAGCGTGCGTTGACTTGAACTGCAGGCCGTTGCTGGGGAGGGTCGATCACGGCGGGTATTGGACAATTGTCGTGAACGCGGCATTGAACAGGCTCTTTTTCTTGGGTCGTGGGGTAAAAGGGCCGATGTTGAAGGCAGTTTAGACCCAAAGGATCATTGAAGACTCGTCTGACCATCGACTTACATGCGTGTATGTGAAGGGAAGAAAGAGGATGTAGTATTTGGACTGGAGTATCTTGACGTCACATCGTCTCTCCTCGGACCAGACCCGAACAGAATTATCCCTTTGTTTACCCATAACAAGAACTGGACTGGACTGATGGTGCTGTAAGTCTGTGGGCTCTTAGATCATGAGAGTGTTGATCTCATCTGATAAATTCCCAACACGAACTGGACCTAACGTTACACTACAGAGTGCACCTCGTCAGCTCAGAACCGTGATCGACATAGCTAAATTTACCCAAGTCAAGGTCATGCCCTCTCCAGATCCTGCAATTAATCAAAGTCAGAAAACCCAAAATAAAAGAAAAAAGTCTAAACCGCCCCAATTGCCCACACGCATGAGTCCTTGCACGAAATTACGGAGTATCTTTTCGGTGAATTTGCTGAGCTGCCTTCAATTGCCGAAACAACACCAGATTTTATTTCCCCGTCATCACCATCATCCATCACTAATTCCCCACGATGCCCTTGCTCCCCCGCCCCTTGGAACCTTTTTTCTTCCCCGCATCCAAAGAACCCGACCCCAGCGATCGTCTGCCTCCGAAGAACCACCGCGGAATGTCGGGCCTAGAGCCCGTCTCCATTTGATTCCAAGTCGTGATGATCTTGTATTCTTGGCGAAATGGTCAGATTATCAAGAGTTCTATTATTCTATAGCTGTATTCAGTGTGAAGGGTGCCCTGTTGGGCTCTTGAGTTGGCGCTGTTCCTTGGATGTCTGGGATCAGGAAGTTATGCTATGCTACGTTGTAAATCAAAGGCACAGCAGCGAAAGATTGGGTGGTATGCAGATGCAGGTTGGTTTAAACGGTCAAATCATTATTAAGTAGCTTTCTGTGGTAGCTTACTGCCCTTCTAGGCAAGTCTGTGAGCTCTCCCTATGCGATTTCATCCTTTCTAGGATCATCATGATACCCCCCAGCCCATGGCATGAATCAACGCCATCATCGACTCCATAGAATACACTTTTCCCTCCTCGGGCCGCCAATACCGCCAACGTCTCTAAGCGTCGTGGTACTCGGTCTAATTATCTTAACTCAACTCTTGAACCCCATTCATAAATCAGTAGATACCAGGGATGATTCGGTATCGAACAATCTTGCGGTACTCCTCCCAGTCCTTGCCGTACTTGCGGTGACACTTGTCGTCGTCACGGCGCTCACGATGGACGAGAAGGATAGCGAAGTACAGGATGTAAAAGTAAGTGATGAGCATGCCCCATCCCTTAGCTTCTCCCTGGATAACCTCTCGACCATCTCGCATAACGTACGCGCCCTCGGCATGAGTTCCGGCGCTGAGAATCTGATACCCGGCGATACCGGTGGGAAGACAATAGGGCCACGACTGGATCCAATCGCCCAGGTAGTTGATGTGACGAGCGATACCCCACCAGCCTGTTGTGAGAAGCTTGCTGCCCTTCTGGGTCTGGATGTACTTGAGGTGAGAGATTCTGGGATCGTCGGGGTTGGTTCGGAAGCGGTTCTTCTCGTTGTTGGCTGAGCGGAAGATGTAGAAGCCAAGGCCGATGAGACCCAGCATAGCGGCTAGTCCGAGAGGGCCGAGAGAGACAGGGTGGACGGAGAGATATCGGGTCTGCAGCGAGTAGACATATGGAACCCAGACAATATCGCCGAAAGCCAACATCATACCAAAGCCATCGGTGGTGATGTCCATGGTAGTCAAAATCGCGGGCTCGTTCCACCAAGAGTCGAAGACATACAGAGCCTGAACAGCCGTGATGAGGATGGAGCTATCGGTCACGAAACCATAGTTGCGGTACTGCTGAGCGCACCAAGAGCAGTTCATGATAATCCAGCCCATCATTCCAGGTCGAAGCTCAAGGAACTCCTTAATGTCAACCTCACCGATGAGAGGGATCGAAATACGGGGGTTCAGTTCACGACCGATGAACCAATCGTACAACATGTTTCCTGAGTGGCCTCCAGCAGCAAGCTCGCGGTTCTCCTTATTTCCGGGCTTGACGCTAAAGCTTCGAACGTAGACGAAGGTGGACACGAGGTAGGAGTAGATGATGTTCGCGGAAAGGATCTGAATGAAGTTCTCTGACATGAAGGTCCAGACCGGGAACTCGGCACCCTGAGCAGCGGTTCCCGCGGCAAGGACAGCCAGGGTGAAAGTGCTAGAGTACAAAGCTGCGAAAAGTGTTAGAAACTTCGTCCTCTCATCATTCTCAGGTTTGACGAACTGTTAAATCGGTACTTGAGTTTTCCTCCAGAGCGCAACTCTGTACCCTCAACTTCAACCGCGGGCAGAACACGGTACAGGATCAGGGAGAGGACATTGTATCCCACAACAGCGGCGGTTCCCTTCCAGCTAACCAGGCCAGCGACGCCATTGCTTGGCCATCCGACTTCGTGTTTCAAGGCATCGAGCGATAGGGTCTTTGGGTGAAGGAGAGATGGCGCGGGGCATCCTGAGATGTCGTTGCAGACGAAGTTGAAGACGTATACGAGGATGGGGAGGAAGAACGAGATGACAAAGGCGCCGGGACTGAGAATTGTTAGTTATGATCTGAAGAGTAAGGTAAGGAGAGGGAACTTGAACTTACGGGCCAAAGAACTCGTAGCCGTGTTGCTCCTCTGAAGCCGGCTGTTTATCTTTGACAGCCATGTTTAAGATTTGACGAACTCAGATAAGGGGCTTCAAGTCTTTTAAAGTTCCGTTGCCCAAAGAATCTTACTCACAACGAAGCCTCTTGTTCTTACGAAACAAGATCAACTCTTTGCAAGAATACGCAAAAAGTCAAGTCTATGGGAGTCGTGACGAAATTACACAGAATTAGCTTAATCTAATCAACGCGTAGTGTAGGTATTCTTTTTCGGGCCCCGCTGCTCCCCTGTCGTATTCGCGTATTCGGGAATGGCAGTTGTCTCAGGTCAATTGGCAAATCAGAGCTTGGACAGGTAAGGTACGGCACTCTGTAGTTTCACTAACACGACGGAAGTCGGCAATAGATTTGTTCGGCAATAAATATCTGACTGCATTTAAATAAACTTCTTATAGCTTACTTGGAGATTGTTTTTCGCAACTCGTCATCTTACACGTTTTGACCAAAATTTAGACCAAATCATGGTTCAGAAGAGATCGATACATCTTCAATCTTCAAGACACATAAGTCTATGATGCTGCCGGACAAACACTTGTCCCGATATATTGAAGCATGTCCTCTCACAAAGGGGTCAAGCACCAGCCACATGCGTCGCCACAGATTCAAGCCCCATGTGTCTCGTAATTCTCCGGTCAAGGGGTGTAGAGCAAAGGCAAGGGCGGGTTTTACTCTTTGTGGAAAAGACAGTTTGAGGTTTTGGGGATTGCAACTGGAGCCAGGGACCACAACGCGTAATCAGGGAGAATACATCTCCATCTCCAGCTCCATATCGCCAAAACCCTCGCGACTCGACTTGAAACTATATGTTTGTGTCTTCTCTGTGATCCGCTTACTTACTTTACTGTCCCTTCATTATCAGCCCCTTTTTGGTGACCATTCTTTTTGATGATAGGCTTTATCGCAATCATACAGCTCTAGTCAACTAGACAGTAGATCTGTCCCAACTTCCATTCCGATCCAATCCATTCGTCTTCGCTTCAATACTCCAACGATTCAATATCCTCCTACGATCCGAATCCATCATCTATCGAGTCCATCATCATGCGCTTCCAAGCATTACCATTCGTTTTGTCGTTACTCGGTTCCGCGAGCGCTCAAGTCGCAGAGCAGCCAACAACCACGATCCAAGTCCCACAATGTACAGCGACTTCACATACCGGCATGGGCGGTTTCTTCGATCTACGACCAGACATGGCCGTCGTTCCCGATGAGAACACCAAGAAGTACGCCGTGACGAAGGACTACTTCTCAAAGGGCTACGACTACGGCAAGAACTTCACATTAAACATCTGCGGTCCTGTCGTAGAGCCAGTCACAAACGTCGTCGGTGTCGAGCCGCCTTTGTGGCAGAACGTGAGCGCTTATTACATGGTGGGAGGCGAGGTCTTCTCGATAGGGTTGGTTTGAACATACACAAATTGGTGTCTTGCGCCGGAAGGAATGCGCCAGCTAATGTAGAGGCAGTTTCGAGTCAATGGACTTACAGAGCCGTGGTCGCAAGTTGGTTCTTCAATACACGGGGGGATCTCCTTGCGGCGCCGACGTTAACAAGACGGAACCTATCTACGAACGATCCGCCCAGCGCGACTCGTACCTCGAGGATGAGAATGACTTGACGGCTTACACACCTGTTCCGGAACCCGAGGAGCCCGTTGAGGAGGAGCCGAAGCCAAAGGACAAGCGAAGACGCAAGTCGACGACCATTTCGTTCCACTGCGATCGAGACCCAACCACGACCTCTGCCAGCGTCTCCTTTGTTGGCACAGACCCAGACGAATGCGCCTATTTCTTTGAAGTCCGATCCTCGCACGCATGCGCCCACGCAGAGCCGCATAAGCCCGGCAGCGTCGGTCCAGGCAGCATCTTCGGACTCATCGTCGTGATCGCAGTCCTCGTGTACTTCCTCGGCGGCATCTTCTACAACCGAACGGTAACCCATGCGCGCGGCTGGCGACAACTCCCCAACTACAGCTTATGGGCGGGAATCTGGAGCTTCATCTGCGTGCGTCGTCCCCTCCCCGGCTCCAAGCCCGAGCGATACTCTCCCTGAGTTATCTCTTTTCTCTCTCTTTTTTTTTTTGCTCCCCGTTATTTTTTTGTTTTATAGAAAAGAATTGGGGGCTGACAGGTGAGGTTTCTCTTTTGGTTTTATAGGAACTTTGTTTTTGCTGCTTCACGGCTTGTCTGAGACGAATTACTGTTCGACGTGGCTACCAACAAGTACACTCGAGTCCGAGTCGGAGAGAGCAGGATAGAGATGCCGAGAATCGGTTGATTGACCAACTAGATGAGGAGTGGGAAGATTGAGATTAGAGCAGGAAGATCATAGATGCGTGGTGTTTCTTATCGTCATTGGGTGTTGTCTTGGGGCCTGGATTGGGTTCTCGTATTTAGAATGGACATGATCGGAGTTTTATGGGCACGATAATGGTCACGCGTTGTACTGAGCTTGAGATTGGTCGGTACTTCAAAAACATGTTAAAGTTGATCAAATCCGTTCCATGGCTGTGTGTCTTCTTATGTGATGTGGCTTTGAGTGCCATCGGTCTTCATTGTGCAAGTGTCTTGTCGTGGCTGTTTAACTACCCTGCACCATTACACAACACTCTCGGCCGAGTCTTATCAGTGCCTCAAGCCATCCACAGTGTCAGGTACCTTGGAAAAGACATGCTTACAATTGGGGGCATGTACTCCGTGCTCCTTCAAAGTATGGGCTGTCAATGCAAAGTCTTGCAGTAGGCTAATGGTGTTCGCACGTTTGCTTCTCGAACTGCGAACTAAGCAGCCACATGCTGTAAAGCACCTAGCATATTCTACTAAAGGCACCTCAACGTAAAGTTCAAGCTAAAGACACTTTTTAGAGACGGTGTGAGCGGTACGGCCCATGCCTAGACGTTCTAACCAAGGACACTCTATTCTTTTCACTCTTCCAGAGTCAAAGTTACAAGAAAACGCCACGCAGAAATAGGAGGCAGATCAAAGCCACACCCATGTAGCTGATGCCATTTTAGGGCATCGTGTGGGTTTGAACAAACATGCAGTCGCCCAATTGCCGTTGACGGGATACATAAAAGAGATTTGAGTGTGGAACAAAATGGTTCGTGAGTTTGTTAGTTCAGGGGTCCACGTGTTGAGAGAACGTTTGTAGCATCTGCAGAGGAGAGACAGAATGAAGCCATCGTCAACGCCAATTCGTGGTTCATCAACACCAATACATTGTGGTTTGAAGGAGCAAGATGCCTACAGCTGCAACAATGGTCCCGCTGAAAACGAGGCTGGCTACTGCAATGAAACATCGATCGGATCTAAGATCAACACGAGAAGATCTTCAAAAGCCCACCAAACGGGGAAACGAACCGGAAGCGCCGTCCGTTCATGGGCATGACGCTTCATGCACACTACACATCGAATATGACCTGTTCACGGAGAAAAGAAAAGGAAATCTCAAATCTCAATTGATCTCATCTGTCCATCGACCCGGCCCCCGGGTGTCGGTTCGATCTTGATATGCACGCAAGATAAAACCGGGCTGAGAATGCAAGACAATCCAAGTCCAGCTAGCCACAGTCCAAAGAGAGGACAACCCCTGCAAGCCTTGTTTCCTCCCAACGGCTCTGGCACTTTTCTCACAGCGGTCGTTGTCTCGGCCCCTGGAACCGAAACCTTGGTGCAAATGTGTACAAAGTTCTTTGATGGATACGCAACAGGTATATATGCGATGCATAGCGGTATAATATACGCGCTCTTGATTAAGTGATTCTGTGTACCTTCCAGTAAATCTGAGAGACAGAGTCCATGTAATTGTCGAATTGTCACTGTCTGCGGAAAGGATTCCACCTTCGCAAAAAGAAACGAAAGTGACAGCATTGCCGAGAATACTCCTTGCATAAGCCCTTCGCATTGTTTCCCCGAGAGAAGAAGAGGAAGAAGAATAAGCCAGAACTAGTAAGAACATACCTTTACTCCTTTCAGTCGAACCAGCGTCAATGTGCAATTGGCTTCCCGTGACGTTCTAACCAATGCATGTCTATCGTGCCGTGTGTGGAGACGTAGAGGTCCTCGAGTGCGTCATGTAAGGTATGTATATATGTATGTAGCTGGTTCGTGCAGCATGGCGACCTCGAGATAGCCGATGATGCGAACTAAGGGGATCTCCGAACTTGGAAACGCGGGTGTTCGATACGATGGCTTCGGTCGGGAGCATATTGTATTGTATGGTGAGAAAGCTCGTCATTGCCGTGGTGTTTATCTCCTGAAAAGGAACTCGATCTTCTCTGCAAACAACACTCTGTAACCAGTTAGCCGTCAGCTCCTCCAATCTCATCTCCGTCGAGTCTTCCCGAAGCCGACATTACCAGTTGATCCTTTGCACCCGTTTTCCCTCTGATCGTCGTATTTCCCAAAATCGATATCTGCGTCTGGTCTGTTCGCTATAGTTCCCGAAGATCAAACTCAAGCAAGTATGAGGTTGCATCTCGTCACATGGCTTGAGCCACACACATACCATGACTAGCAGCACACCCTCTCCCCCCCACGACCGGTTTCTGTCTCACATCTTTTTGGCACCCTTCCCACACCGCCCATCCTTGACGCCTCCCACGCGGGTTTCCACGCGGCTACAAGACAAATGCCGTGAAACCACACAAATCTGGATAGCTGGTATGCAGTTACGTCCTGAGGAGGAAAAGCGTACAGTCGAAAGAAGAAACGTTTTTCTATCTCAAACGATGGATTTTCCAAGGCGAAGAAGAAATGAGAGGGAGGAGGAGAAAGCTGACGGGAGCGGAAACGGGTTTCGAAGTGGCGGTTCGTTTGTTTGCTCGAAGGAAGCTCGACGGGAAAACAGGGAGTGTCTTCAACAAAGAAGTTAGCAGGTGCATATTATGATGAAAGGAGATACTGGTATAGACGTCAAGATGTGAGTACTTGCATAGCGGAATATGTTTCCCGGTGGTCTGGATGCTGAAGTGTATGCTGGGTACCGATGTCGCAGAGTGACTGACTTGTTTGATTTTCTTTGGCGAAATCGACTGGACAGGATGCCTGCAGGTACGCGTACGGATAGTATAAAGCAAGATAAAGAGCTAATAAGGCCGTGGAAGGTGTAATGATGCTTCTCCTGCGAAGTGTCTGCATATTTGCATTGGTGTTCCCATAGAAGATGTAGCTACCATGTCTGCTTTGAGAGCATCCAAATTCGGATTGAGTGGAGCAACTTGGTGTTTTCTGGTTCCTGGATTGCGGCGTGATCACTAACCTAGTCCATAAACCGCAAAAACATTACATTGGGCCATGTCACTACGAATCCAGATACAGCCGTATCTTTGTCTCGGTGATCATTGCCTATGGTGTTTTGGGCTCTCTACTACTTTGCTACTGTACTACCACAAAATTGAGCTGGGGGTATTTTGATATCGTGACCTACCCAAGGCTCTTTGCCTCGACGTCTTTCACATGATCACCGCCATTCCGGATAGCTTGCAAGTGCCACCACCTCCGTCTTATGCAGTGCCCGTGATTCAACTGATGTGCTGGTGATAAGTCAATTATGCAGTGATAGATTACATCCATGGCGTCAAGAGGCATCTCGCCGTACCATACTGTGATCTGGCCCTATTCACAGCCTGGTAGTTGTACCTTAAACGACGAAGACCCCAGCATCTTCACCTAAGCTACGGCCTTTCGAGACGCCGGTGGTGCATAGCCTTTACCAATATTTTGACGAACTTAGTATGCACCATGCAGAATGGTAAACACTGAATCACATTTCACATTGCAGTAATATACACAAGCCGCCACATCTCCTCTCTCCTCACTCTCACACTCTCTCCCCTTGACATCACGACAACTACAAACACTGCAAAGTCCCGCTCCCACAGCGGGTCGACCTACCCGGGCTACCCCTGTCCCCGCCTGTAGACGCCACTAGCTCCAAGATCCCACTAGGGCCCAGATCTCAGCTGCAGCTCAACACACCCCTGCTAGAGATGCACAGGGCAGTTGAGTCTACAACGTATTGGGGGGGGTGAAGCTCCCCGTGTGGAGGTAAGTTCGCAGATTCAAGTGCATGTACTCTTCCCTTTTGGGTCTTCTACATCCTCAATGTCATCAGGTTAGGGAGGCTTTTGTGATGCTGTTCCTCCCATGTTGCTGTTGAGGTTGTGCACTGCTCTGATTGTCTATATCAGAAGCTCATTTCCCTCTTTTGGCCTTTGAGAATGCAAGTCTACTCCTACAGCCTATAACCCATTGTGCACTGCTCCCCATTACTACTCCTACTATTGTCCCTTGACCTCGTGCACTGCTGCCTTTGCCTCTTCTGCTATTGCCCCTCCATTGTCGTCCATCTTTTCAGTCCTTCATTGGCCCTGTCGTCATAGTTCGCGCCTGTTTGGGGCCACTAACAAAGCAGAGTGGTTCGTGACTCCACCGTGAGCTATTGCCTGTGACAAATAGCAACAATACATTACGTCGGAATTCCTATTGAGCACTGCCAGTGCTATCAGAACAATGGAAATGCTCAAATTCGAGGATGAGGGCTCTCTGGCTCCTCTATATAATCTCCCAACCTGGCCTGGCTTCTACTCTTCTTTCTTTCCTCCTCATCACTTCACATCTCAGAGTCTGCACCCGTACCAGCAGCCTTTTTCTTCTTCAGAGCCAAGTCTTTGGCCTTCAAGCTTCACCTCGAGTCACACCAGTAGCCTTGGCTACTCAGGTATGCTTCCTCCCCTTACACCATCTTGCCTTGGCATCGCATGTGCTGACTTGGACAAGATAACTTCACACACAACTTCCTCCCGAGTCCATCACCATCAAGTCTTTCGAGCGATTACAGCTGCCCAGGTATTATTTCTCCTTTCCATGCTGCAGGTCTTCACAGTCATGATCTAACTTGAACAAGACTGCTTTATACACCACCCACCCCCGAATCTGCCTCCGCCCATCCTTCCCTCCGCCAACACCTATCGCAGTCTTTACCAAGGTATGTTTGGTCCTTCATCCCATATCACCCCAACTTCGCCTTTTTTCTGACTTGGTAAAGACCAGCCCACCCACATCAAGGCCGAGCCGTTACCCCTTTTTACACACAACTACCTCTCGCGTCTCCCGCCTCCAAGCCTCCCTTCAAACAACAGCTGCTGCTGTTGCTCCTCCTGTATGTTTATTCCCTTCCACCTTGACCTACATCTCCGTCATTCAAGACTAACCTTGTGCAGACTCCTTCACCAACACACAGTTACCATCTCCCCCCCTCTCCTCCGACCACCGCCAAGACGCAATGTCTTCCTCCCCCGCCCTCGTCGGTAGCAAGTCCCCTGCTGCTGTAGGTGCGGGCTCTGTCGCCGGCCCCGGCATAGTCTCCCAGGCTTGGACCCGGTACCAGAAGACCTGCGCGGTCCTCCATGAGTACGAGGACATCTCCCCCTCTCTCATCCTCCGGGTTATGCAGGTGCCAGTGACCCTCGAGGAGCAGCGAACCTTTGTTCGCCACCTCCGCCAACAGGGCGTCTCGTACGCCGACATCAAAGACCTCGGAGAGCTGACCACCTCTCTGAGCACCCTCCGCGGCTGGGACCGCATGAAGAAGCCCCCCTCTGCTCGTCCTCGCGCCCCGCGCTGGACCACCAAAGACGTAAGTTGACCACTTCTTCCTCACATCAACACGTTGTACTAACATGGCGAAACAGATCAAAATCATGCACCGCGCCGTGAACGCAGTGCTCGAGACGATGGACATCGGGTCCCCCGGGTTCTGGCGTCGTGTGGAGGAGGAGATGCCCAAGCTCCAGGCGACGCATCGCTTCTCTGCCCAGGCCATCGCGGCCAAGTACGACAACCGAAGTCGGGGTGACATCGCCCGCCGGAGGGCCAACACCACAGCGCAGTAAATAGGTTTTTAGTTTCCTGGCGGTGGTTTAATGAAGAACAATGGTCCTATAATGATAGGAGACCAGTTACTGACAACAACTGTCTTTAGTGATTTGATAAGCCTTATCTGATATCTCGATGTGACATATTGATACATGATGCCTTGAACTGTGATTCAACACCCTGGAGGGGTGAGCTAGATGTCATCGATGACTTTTGTTAACGAGTCTTATCCGAGCTATAGTCAACTGATAAGTAGATCCCTGTTAGGTTCTTGTCCCACCGGGATGCAGGCTACATAGAAAAAGAGCGGTTACGAGAAGCACGGGATAATAAAAACAGGTGATGAATCAAGGCATGGATGGTAGACGCTATCGTGAGATTGAAGTAAGTTTGACTTGAGTATATGAGGGATTGCTAGTCACCACGATGGGTGTGGAAAGTGAAGTGAAGTGTTTAGATAGATAGTTTCTGTTTGTTGCTCTTTTCACCAAGTCCAAGTCATATCTTCATCCATAGTGTCACTATCCTCGTTCTGGTCAGCTTCCTCCTCTTGTTCTTCATAATCGTCCTCATCCCTCACAACTTGTCGAACCCTCGACCTTCTCACCACTTTCTGGGTCCGTTTAACTGAAAAAGCTCCGCCATTCACTTTTTGTTGAATGGCTTGACAGAGACCCTTCCATAGTGTCGCTATCTTCGTCCTGGGCGGACCCATCTGTCCTGCTTGAGTTCCACGAGCTCACAGCCATCAACCTTGGTGTAGACCTCTCCTGTGACTCCTTGCTGACCCCCTTCATCTTGCAAGCTTTCCCTCCCTCCTCCTGATCATCGCTGTCCCACTCTGAGCTTCCTTCGATGATGCTCTTACGAATCGAGCACACGGCGAGACTCAACGTTGGTACCAGGGTATAAAACTGAGTCCACGTTGATTCTGTACTTCTCATCATTAGATGATGACGGCGCGGTCCTGAGCACTATCGAAACAACCAGGTGCTGTGAGGTGATCGCGGCTGAGAGCTTATGATCACCACACGGAACTTGGTTGTTTCGATGATACTCAGGACCGCGCCGTCATCATCATCTGATGACGCCTCGTCATCCCCCTAAGTTCAGACGTCAATCACCTGAATCAACGAGGGACAGGAAATACTTACATCACTTCCGGATGAGGAGTCACTTCTCTCACAACTTGTCGAACTCTTGATCTCCGACGGGGAGTTTGTGGGGACCGCCCAATTGGAGGGACTCCGTCTCTGACTTTTTGTTGAACGATGTTGACGGAGCCCCCTCCATAGTGTCACTATCTTTCGTTTTGAGCGGTCCCCTTGGCTTTGTACCCCCTCCCCATCCTTGCCAACATATCCAAGACTGACCGGCTACGGGAGCTTGAGGGTCCGCCGCCATGGAAGGGCTCCATCTTTGGCTTTTTGTCGGATGAGTTGACGGAGCCGCTTCCATAGTGTCGCTATCTTCGTTTGGGCGGCTTCCCCTCCTTGCTCCCCGTAGTCACCTCCATTCCCACCAACCTATCGACCCACTCACTTCTAAGAGAGCTTTGGGGGAGCCACTCAGATGGAAGGGCTCCGTCTTTGACTTTTTGTCGGACGATTGGACGGAGTCCCTTCCATAGTATCACTATCGTTTTCCTGTGCGGCTCCCCCCTCTTGCTCTTCGCAGTCACCCCCATCCTTGACCAGTACCTGATCTTGCAGACTTCCACCGCGTGTTGTCCTGACCATTCTCTTGGGAGTGCTCCTGGGATGGATTGTCCCCAGGAGCAATTTGCTGGAGAGCTAGAAGGGTAGGCCGGTTTGTCTTGGTCGAATTCGGTGTTGGCTCCCGTGCGGTGGTGCACCAAGTTTTGTGTGGTGATTATAAGCTCTCAGCCACAGGTCTCAACTGCAAATAACACATCTGGCCCACAATCCAGACATGGCTGGGGAGAGATCCCAGATAGCTGGGTCATAAAGGCATTGCCCTCAGGTGTGGCAAGGAACTCGTGGAGTTCTGCAATGCGCATACCAAGCTCCTCGGCAGACTTCCACTGCGTATCCCTCTGTACAGCTTTGCAGGTTCCAGACCTGGTCGGTCCTCGGCCTTCTGCCGGCAGGAATAGGCTTCGGCTTAGCGTCTTAGCAGGCGATTCTTCCACGGCGCTCGAAGCACTACCAGAGCTTGTGGGGCCGCCCAAATGGAATGGCTTGTCTTCCTCTGAGGATTCGACGAGCCGCTTCCATAGTGTTGCTGTCGTCATTCTGGGCGGGCCCCTCCTGTGGCTCCTCGTAATCATCATTGCCCCCCACAAATGTCTGTTCTTGCAGACTTCCACTGCGTGTCCCTCTGTACAGCTTTGCAGGCCCCGGGGGTTGTCGGAAAACTACAAGCGAAGCGCTCCGCCAGTATCAAATGCGGTTGGCACTCCGATGTCTCGTAGGACGTTGCGTAGCGTCTCGGGATCTTTCTTGAGGGCTTCCCACTCCAACTCGTTCTTGACCAGTGCTGTACCGGCAAGAAGGGTGCCGTTGAGGGCAACGGTACCAAGCACATCACCGTCCTGGCTTTGGAGCTTCACGCCCTCTGCCAGGCGGGGGCAAACAACAAGGGTGTCTTTGGTCATAGCCATGTTATAACTGATTCTTGTGGGACCCTCGGCGGGTGCTTCTTCAGCATGAAGTGGGTCTTTGGTGTAAACAGCAACAGCCCGGCAGGCTTTGCGGTAGAGTCGGAGATAAGTGGAGTGCAAGTCTGCGCCAGACATGCCAAGCTTGATGTCTTCGGTAAAGGTAGCGAAGGGAGCGATCTTGGTTTTGAGCTGATCGGCGAGAACAGTCCAAGGTGTGTCAGCCTCGAAGCCATCCTTCATTCTGGCGATGGGGAGGAGTTGGATGTGACGATGAGGTTGGCTGGCACCAGAGTGATCACCGCAGTTGAAAAAAGCAAAGAGGCCATCACCGCCGCCGAGTGTGCCATCGCGGTGGCCTTGCTCTGCTTCGGTTCTTCTAGCAGCTTCATATGCCTCAATGCAGGCTAGTGTGGCCTCAAGGTCAGACTCTTCAAGGACATGAGTTTGGGGCTTGAACTCTGTTGTGGCAAGAATGAAGTGCTCGGGAACAACAGCAAACTTGTTCAGCACGAGATAGTGGGAGGGGCCAAGATCTGTGACCTTGAGAGATGGAAGTGGGTTCTCAAAAGGGTCAAAGGGCTTTTGGGGTTTGGTGAGGTCCTTTGGCGGCGGCTTGGGTTTGTTTGCCAAGGAAGGCGAGAAGCGGAGTTGGAACTGAGTTAAGTGTTAGCAGTGAGTCCCTAGGCCTATATGGCGCTCATTCATCCAGTGAGCGAAGATAGGATGACACGTACGGGGATGGAATCAACATTGAGGATGGCAACTTGAGTGGGGAAATAATGCAAATCACCCTCTGAGCGAGCTTTTGTGAAAGTCGATTTGACAAGCTCTGGGAGGTTTGAGGGGGCTTTGATGCGAGGCATGGTTGTATATGTTGTGAAGTTGGGTAAGATATGTGAGGCGAGGAGGTAAAAATGATGAGTGAGAGTGGGAGCTCTCAAAACTTGGAACGGGGAGCTATCCATGCCTTGGTGAGATCCGTGTGGTGAGCTCGGCAGATTAGGGCTCGATCTGGTTGGTCCAACAGTGTGTGCCTGGCCCCCCTCCCCTGTTGTGGTCCCATAATTCTGGGCGAGCTCCCTGTAGCGTCCCGTCATCCTCCTTTGACACCACCCCCAACCCAGAAAGTCACTTTCAACATAGCTTCGTTTATCATGCACATTCAGAAATAGATGCAATTTTTCGTTTGATTTTCATTCCTCGTGTCAGAATCTGTATATCTTCAAAACTGCACCAAATAAGACGGAGTTCCCCCCTCTCTCTGACGGGATGAGACACTCCTCATTCCCCATAGCAACGCGTTGCTGACGAGCAAGTTACTTGCCTAGCCCTCTTCTATCCTCTTTTCACATCCTCCTTCCGATTTATAGCTCCCACACAAACGAGTTGCGAAAATGGAGGTGCAATATTCTCAGCGCCCCTCCCCCATCTCTTCCTCTCCTTTCTTCTCCCCTCCCCTCCTTCTTCCCTTCCACGCGTTAGGCAACCGCTTCACCAGAAGCAACGGACTGTCATAACAGAACGCGTCTTCATCTCTTCTTCCTACCCAGATCATCTCGTGTTTCGAAACACCTTGTCCTTTCACATCTACCCCTTCACTGCGTCTCCTACGTATATCAAGCAGTCCAAGCAGAAAGCTGCTACGCACGCAACATCATCTTCTCTCACCAGAGACGCGTCACATCTCATCACCACCATCCCTTCACATATAGCGGCCAAGTGAGCCATACACGTAAGTACAAACCTCCATGTTCATCTTTGCTCCCAAGCCTGCGGCCAGTTGCCGGCGCCAAACTCGACATCTTTACGCGTCTTTTCCTTGCAAGCTAACAAAGATCACAGAAACAAAAGAACCCCTGCGAGGAACTTCCTTTTGCATTAGAGGCACCAGTATCTCTACTCATGTCAAGAGCAAAAGGCTCGTTTTGACCAGGGAAACCCCTACACATTTCATCATCTTTCTCGCCCCCGCCACAGGCTCTCTTCACATATTTCACCACAAAAGCTGGTAGCACATCGCCCATTTAGGTGACTCTTATTTCCCCATGTTCTACATACGACAGACACGATGAGAAGCCTGTGGCTCCATCGACAAAGAAGACACGCCAGAGTGTCAGAGGTCACCTCCTTCTTATGAGAGCTGAGCTTGCAGCCTTCATTTTTCCCCAAACAAGCCAACTGTCTTTGCCTAAGTCGTTTCGCCCATCTCAGTCGGCGAACTCGTCACAGGCACAGTAGATTGCATCATGTCATAACACGCCCCTACCCAAAGTTCGCGGCCAAGTTTGATGGACTCGGACGGCTTTGAATACAAACACTTGCCATTTACCACACGAAACAAGAGGTAAATACATCCCACCATACTGTAATTATTACACAAGAGCTGACCAACATGTGTACTAGGCGCTGAACCCCCCCGCATACAATATCACAGCGGCGACCTTTCCCCCATATCAGACTCGACTGTGGATGACCCCCAGACCCGGACCCGGGACTGTACCCTCCTTGCGCTGTCATCCTCCTATGCACGCAAGAGGTGAACTTCAAGCACCCTCGTCATACCAAGCTGGCATTATTCAGGACCAACACTCAACAGTTGGTCTTGGCCACCCCCCGCGCTCCAGTTGCGGGGTGATAGCTACCACTCGCCGATTACATGCACATAATCGTCTAAAGATACTACTCCGACAGAGAGGAGGGCCAGCACCTCGAGCAGCAGCGCGAGTATGCTGCCATCGAGGATGCTGGCCTCTCCAAACCTTTCAAACATGCTGCAATTGCACTTCGGTACAACATGGACGTCCGCGAGAAGTGGTTCGCATTCAAGATGTCCCAACGTGGCCGCCAGCTCGAGAACGGTCTAGAGAAGCATGTTGGGGGGTGGTGCGACTTGGGGGACATTGAACCCGAGCTTACCAGCTCCGTATCCAACACCATTGATTATGTCTCGCTCAAGCATCTGGAAGATGCTTGGAACGTGCAGCCCTACAACACCTTCACCTTTAGGCTAACTCTATGTGGCTGAGAGCTTATAATCACCACATAGAACTTAGCTTAGGGGTGAAGGTGTTGTATGATTGGACGTTCCAAGCCTCTTCTGGATGCTCAAGGGAGACATAAGCTATATTGTCAATACAAACAGCGTATGAGATGCTGAAGGTTGTCGACTAAGGGGGAGTAACGAGATATGAAAAGCGATACCCAGATTGAGCAAGCGCAAAATTGTTGTATAAGCATCTGGAAGAGGCTTAGAGCATCCAGCCATTCAACAGCTTCACCCCTGCGCAGAACTTCGCGTACGGTGCACCTATCCCTCGACGAGCGGTTACCAGCCGCACTTCTTCGTTGACCGTTGAGCTCCGGACAAACCGATTTCAGGGTGAGAGATTGTGGCATTCATTGGCCGCAACAGCCGCATGTTGCCTGGCGTGGACGAGCCCATCCACATCATCATGGATCGGGCAACGTCCAAGACCATGGACATGTTCGAGGAGTTTGTGGCTATGGGGGACGCCATGTGCTGTGCTGAGAAGCTGGATTATGTGCAGTATCTTATTTATCTCGGGTAACCAAGTACCGCACATAACCCAGCTTTTCAGCACAGCGCATGGCGTCCCACATAGTCATAAACTCAACGAGCACGTTCATGTTCTGAGACGTCACCAGATCCCACCTTCCACGCTCTCCTCTTCGATCTGCTACCTATCGGCCTAAATCTATTCTTTCTGTCCCCAGGTGGCCATGAATGGCGCGCTTTCCGTCAAGCTCACCAGGACATCGAATCCGAGTGTCTATCTTTTCCGCCTCCTCAGTTCATTAGCAGGCATGCACCATAAACTCTCAAGGGCTCTCCAATCAGAGTGTGTTACTAGTCGTATGGGAAGGGAAAACCTCAACAGTCTCGCACAGGTAGCTGAATTAAACCAATAATACACACCCATGACCATCATGTTTGTCAGTAATCCAATGGTAGCGATCAAAGCCCCAGTCGCGAGTCTCATCTGCAAAACAAAGATGGCTCACAGCATAGACATATTCAATTTCTCTACTTTCAGAATTTCAGCCCTCTCTTCACTTCCAATCGTCACGACCAAGAATGCCTTGCTAGTTTGCCTATATTCAAGGCTCGAAGCTCGTTACCTGCAAGGTGTCAATTCAACCCTCAGTTTGAACGTCACGAGCCCAGTCGCCCAACGAGTAAAACAATACCTCAGATCAATCAAGAACGAAACGCCACGCCGTCTACCATACATCTCGAGCACAAGTCCTTGTCCGAAACCGCTGATCCCAAGTTTGCATCAAACCATGCCCTCAACCTTGGAAATCGACAAAGCTGCTTTCTAAACCGTTTTCTTGGTCTCCTCCACAGGTCTGAGCATTGCAGGCATGGACCAATTCCCTTGATAGAAACTCACAGTCCCCACCTCTCGAAAGCCCATCTTTTCGTAGAGCAGTCGTCCTGACACGCTCGACTCGAGCGTCGCTGGGACTCCCTCCTCCTCGCAACGATCAAGGCCCCACTGGACAAGACGCCTTCCAATACCGGTTCTTTGACATTTGGGGGAGGTGGCTAGGAGACTGAGACGCCAGCGCTCAGCAGGGTAGAACTTGTAGGCTTGTTCGGCGGCTTCTCCTGCTGCGATGCAGGCGTCTAGTGCGATCCCAGGACCTGCTTGTCGGAGGAAGAAACGATAGAACATAGTCCATGCGGTCTCAATCCTGGCGATTCCTATCGATAATGGTTAGTTATAATGCCATCCTCACGAAATTCAATGCTGACTTACGCTTGTTCAAGTTGTCTCCCTGCCAGCTCCGAGCGAGATCACTCTTTCCGTAACGACACCAAACTGCACAAGCAACAAATTCGCCCTCTTCTCCATTCTCCCCTTGTCGACGAGCAGCGAGAATTACAGAGCCTTTCCTACCGTACTCTTCGATGAGGGTCATGCGCCACATGCCTCGAGCCGCTTCGGGATGTTCATGACGCCCAGGGACCATGGCACAGAACAGGTCGTCTTCCATGAAGGCATCGCAAATAAACTCGATAAGCTCTTCGAGTTTCTCACGAGAGCTGATTCGAACGATTTTGAGCATCGGTTTGCTGGATTCCATTGTTGAAGATGATTGGGTTTGAAGTTGGATGTGGTGTTGGGTGAAGGTCTTTGGCAGTGAAGACAGCAACGTCTATCTATTGATATAGTTTTAGCGAATATAAAAATAGTTTCATGCTGTCGAATCTCATTGCTTGCAGCGTAAAGCGGAATTTGGATGAATCGTTGTTGTATTATTAAAAGTGTTAATGCGTGGTTGATGCCTTATTGCCTTCGTATTCCAAGTCTCGGCTCTTTCCGCGGCTTCCACGGATGAGACACCCCTGTCGTAGTGGCCCCGTTGGTTATTCTGCGGGTCTGACTGAATCTTAAATCCTAAGTGTGTCGGTAAATATTGAGGCACCCGACTTGGGGATAGTGTAGAGGATGTTAGAAATTTATTCATAATACTTCCATCCTAAGCAGTATTTCAAACTTCAGCCAGTGGTGGAATTTTGATGAGTTAATCGACGGTTAGAGCAAGCTTAACCAAGCATTGCTTGAAGACAAGATTACGTGCCCGTTCATACCAGATGCCATTATCCAATCGTCTCCAACTGCAGAAGAAGGGCAGATTAATCCAGTGACAGTTATGTCGGTTGTTCGAGATGTTGCCATTAACCAAACCGGATGTGCGATTATCGCCGATGCCGGAAATAGTCTTTGCTGGACAGCCCATCACCTGAAATTCCCCAAACCCGGGCTTTACCGATCAAATTTGGATTCCTCTCCCATGGCCCATGCTGTCTGCGGTGTTGTTGGCATGGGTCTCGCGGATAAACCCGCAATCCCCATTGTTGGCGATGGGGCAATGTTGATGCAGTCAGAGGTGAGCAACGCTGTTCAGTACCGATCGAAAGCGATCTGGCTAGTTATGAATGATAGCAGGTATGGGATATGTGGCCAAGTGCCACGGATGTGGGGAAATATTCCGCCCCCATGTTGTATCCCTTATACAGACTTTGCGTTGCTGGCGCGAGCAGTTGGATGCGATGGATATACAGCCACAACAGGGGAGGAACTGCGAGAAGCACTTGAGGAAGCTATGGTGAGAAATGGACCTACTGTCATAAATGTTACCATCGATCCTTCGGCTGTGGCGCCACGAAATAGAACTACAGAAAGAGATACTTGAACGGATAGAGACCTGGATGGAGAGGTATCTGATCGAGTCCAACCTACTTCGGTATACAGCTAGTAAGAACTGGTTAGAAGAGTTGTTGGGGACCAGTGGCAAGGGAACGATGGAATGGTCACCTGTTGACAATAATGAAGCGATCAATCAATCAACAACCGAGATTGATATTACGACCGGTATGGATATAGATTTACCGGAGCCAGAAACCTATCATACCTCATTCGTTAAGACGTCCAGCCAGGCAAGAAGTGAACCTCGGGGTCTGATGCAGACGGCCAAGAAACATCGTTGGGACGATGACTACGATACTGATGAAGACTTTCTACAAGGGACAAAGCGAGTGAGAGTCTCACATTACTGAGGGCGCAATAGTAGAACCTCAGTGATAAGTAAGTATCAAGTGGATATGAGACTATTTTACTTATGGGCAAGATTTTCTGCTTATCGAGTCTTTGAAGAGGATACTGAGTGAACAGAAAAGGTAAGGCTTTTTATTCCTATATTACTTGATCAAATATATGTGTGAATATTACTAGGTTTTTATGCGTTTCCTAAGTGTAATGTTAATATTGGTATTATCAAAACTTAAATACTTTATAGATGGAAGTGAAAGACATCTTACATCTTCTAATGGCTCAATTTTTTCCGGGACGTACCATTGCTTGTAGCTCGCCCATTGCCTCGACATAATCGGGGTCAAGACAAGTAGAATGCCTTATCATTTTTCTACACACAGTGACAATATTCGCGCAATTGCAGCTTCAACCGCTTCAGTATGATGGTTTACAGGGTCAGGTTCGATCAAGGATCATTTTTTCAACATTGAGAGGTGGGTGATGGTCGACTTGGCAAGCTTACTTCACTCTGTTTGTTTGCGTAGTGAGTCAGTCTTATTCATTACCCATACGGAAGAACAGGGTACCAGCATCAATGATCCCTGACGATGATCAAATCAAAAAGATGACACTTTTTAGGATTGATTCCGCCCCTAAACCATTCCTGGATGCCCTGCAACATGGCTTCTTCTCCCTTGCATTTCCCGGGAAGTCCGGAAAGCCTCGAATATCATGATATACGATGCTTCCAAATCTTAGGATATGCAAGAGTACGGCGATGCAGGCCTAGACGACAGACAACCAAGAGATTGAGGCCTGCGCCCCGTCATTTGACGACGTGATATATAACTATGAGTTACAATCCGAGCTGAAACAACTTCCCACTCCCTTTTTGATAGGACAACATGGGCGGGGTCATGAAATGATCAGATATCGATGGCTTGGCCAGTTTTAAATGACGCTTCTTCATTGGGCCATGATTGGCATCCTTCTTTGGGCACCTGCAGATCGCCAATCAGCTGTTGGGCTCCAAGCTGGTTTCTATGAGGCGTATACGTATTCTAAGCCAAATTACCTACAGGAAGGGTGAGTATTTTGTCGCTTTATTGAGGCAGACATTCACATGCTGCTGCACAGTGGGACATTCTTGTTCTTTGGTATTTACTGGCTCAAAACCTATCTGGACTGGTTTGATAAAGCGAATATTCCCCAGATTTTGGACTTCTAAGCCTACCAGATCTCTTTCCCTGCTGTCTTGATCCAACAACATGGGCAGTCCTTGGTTTACACGCTCAGACGAGCACAATCAGTACAATCAAGATCACACAAACGGCTCGAGCAACCCAGTAGAGGTTGGTATGGCTGCCGAGAGTAAAGACATCTACCGGAAGAGCAGCTGGGACCCCTGGCAGGAGTGGACGGAGGAAGAAATCGGAGTCGATGGAAGATCATCCCAGGCTTCAGCCAAATATGCACTCATTGTCCGCCGCGAGAAGGAACATGGCGAAACTGATGAATCAGTCCTCTCGCTACATTCTATCACAGTGCAGAGTCCACTACTCAAAAAGATTCTTGGTCCGGTCTTCGAAGGCTATAAGGGCGTCAATACTAACCTCAAGAAGCTCGAGTTTCATGCGCCTTTTCGAGAGTTCTTTTATAGATGGGATGAGTTTAATCAAGCCGACCCGAAAAACGATTCAGCTGATTTCTCCGAGAAGTGTTCCCATTACAGACTTCTGGCAGATATCATAAATGCCGAGATCAAGCCGCGTATTGAGCAAGCCTCGGATCTTTTGAATAACGGCGTCATATCGTTTGATTATGTATGGACGCTCTTTGAGCCTGACATCGAAGTCTACACCAAGGTTCAAGGTCGCGAGAGGCTGTTCAAGCTGAGCAGCGGTAATTATTCCAAGATCTCAGATGGAACAGTGGCATACGTACTTAGTGTCCGGTTCATCGACACCGATGGGGACACCTTCGGATACACAGAAACAAGCTTGACCATATTGCCTTTTGAGAACGTCACACCTATCTTGGAGCTAGACGTTATCCCGGCGCGGCTCTGTCCCGATTTGGATGAAGTCAAGGAGCGACTCGTTCAACGTGGTCGAGTATTTATGAGCTTGAAAGGCATCCACCACAGGACGTATTCTGGTATGTACAGTCTGTCCAATACAGCTTCGGGGATTCCAAAGCAGCGGCATGTAAGTCAGAGACTCCTTGAAATCCATTTCCGGCCCCCTAATGGTTGTGTAGGTGACAGACGAACGGATCATCATTGACTGCAGAACATTCTCATGGTTCAATCACGGTACATCCGGTCCACTCCAGCCACTTCTAGCTGCGAAAGGCTTTGAGTTCCGTGGTAACGATCGATGCCATGATAAATGGGATGATTCGTTGGCGTATGGGTCTTTACCAACCAAAACATACACCACAAGAGTTTCAAGCAATGGTTCACAAAACCCACGTACGTATACGAATTTCGGGACAGCTTAAAAGTCTTTTGCTTCAGTTTGGGCCAGGCCGTTCAATGGAAGCTAATCATCTCAGAAGATATACCCAATAAGAAACTCTCCGAAAGCCAGTATGCCCTATGTACGAACCTCGTTAGAGGGTTTTGCCTGAAAACTAAACAATGGGGTAAGTTCGCTCAAGCTATTCACCAAAGGTCATTTTTTCACACTCAAAACTAGGGTTATTCGATATTGAGCTCGTCAAAGACGTGATATGGAGCTCAACTGCCTTTGATCAGCTTGTACTGCCGCACGATTACAAACGAATCATCCAGGCATTTGTTGGTGCTCAAATGTCTGGCTTAGACAATTTTGACGATGTAATCAAAGGCAAAGGTAAGGCTGAGGGTCTGTAATGAAGATTGAACTCGACTGATCGAAAGCAGGAAGGGGTATTATCATGCTTCTGAGTGGAGAGCCGGGAACTGGGAAAACACTTACAGCTGAGTCTGGTAATTACTCCGCTGCCTTGGAAGCTGGCCAAACATTGCTAATATCGTCTCTTGCTCTCAGTTTCCGAGATCATGCAAAAGCCCCTTTACAATATGAGTGCTGCCGAGCTAGGTGATGTTGCGCAAGAAGTTGAGCAGAAGCTAGATTGTGCTCTCGAGCTCTCAACAAGATGGGGAGCAGTGCTTCTTCTCGATGAGTGCGACGTCTTTCTCGAACGTCGAACTACCTCGGATATCAAAAGAAACAAACTCGTGTCGATTTTCCTTAGACTCCTGGAATACTTTGAGGGCGTCATGTTCCTCACTACCAATCGAGTCTCAGCTTTTGATCCAGCCTTTGAGTCTCGAATTCATCTCACTATTCACTACCCCAATCTGGACTACACGAGCAGGTTGCATATCTGGAAGACATTTGTTAACACTGGTACCGATGGCAATAGTCTTTCCGAAGATGACCTGAACGAATTGGCCAGTGTCGAGCTCAATGGGAGGCAGATTAAAAATGTGGCCAAGACGGCAAGACTTCTTGCAACACACGAGAGGACTAAACTGGCTATGGGTCATATCAGTACGGTTCTAAGAATCAAGAAAGGGCTGGCAGGAGGTTTATGATAACTAAGCTCAAGACAAGGACTACCGGACCTTACTAACTCCAGAGATCGGCACGTCTCGGTTCACAGTGTAGAGCCTTGCGATTTCGATTCGCTATAAATAGATCCTTTCGTCTAGTGATTAAATTACATCAAGAAAGTGCTCAGGAGATCACATCCAGCGCTTTGTGAAACGGCCACTTTAAGCGCCCGCTGTTCAAACCGCTTCGGATGCTATCGGACGACCAACACTTAGACGGCCAGTTTCATCAGGTTGAGTGAGGACGAGCTGCGCCGCCTCTGAACACCAATGAAAGAAGATCATTGTATAGGAAGCGTATCGCCATACGGATAAACCGGGACTTGTAGTCTGCTGGCAAATAGGAGGTGTATGAAAGGCGACCTGTCGAACTCCATATCACCAACACCACCGAGGACCAACTGTTGAGCGAAGATCGGCTACGCTCCCCAAAGTGTATATAACTTCGAGATGGTACCCCTTCCTATGTGGTTTTGTTCTACAGAAACATTCATCCTTACCCCTTGCCTTATATTCTCTCCAGCTTTTTAATTTTAAAAACCATGCCTAGGAAGTCCCGCCGCCAAGAGATCTGGACCGCTACCACGCGGAGTACCTTCACCTCCAAAAGGGACAAGTCTTCCAGCTAGAGGCTACTTCATTGCTAATGATGCCAAGGATGGCCAGTTGGAAGATGAGGTAGCTAGGGAGCCTTCTATATTCCTGGATGTCGATGATTTTCTCTATTTGAGAACTTGCAGCTTCGAGGGCGTTAAAACTAGCTTCGTAACAGAGAGTCGTTCTGTGTCTTCTGACATCTTCTAGGTTGAGGGGCAGTTGGTTGATATACTGGTCCTGGAACCGGTTGGGGTAGTTTGCACAGACGAGCTTTCTTTTTAGTATGCATGCCGCCATCTTGCTTCCTTGTTTTCTGGCAAGATCCTTGGTTTTTGTGCTGAGTTGGATCGTCTTAGCGGACACACTGGAGCTTCTTATACCCCCTGAAGTCAGGCAAAAGAGTCATAATCTAGGTTTTCCTCTTACCAGTATTTATGCTGTAGCAATTGGTTAGGCATTATGGTATAATGTCTAAATAGTGAGCTAGATGTGTTATTTGCAGTTGAGACCTGTGGCTGAGAGCTTATAATCACCACACAGAACTTAGTCATTGCTAATGAGGTGGTTTATTTTTTCAATGGCTAGCAAAAGTAGCCCGCAATGCTAAGGCTCTTCTCATGCTCTCTAGACGACACTCAGCAATGAGAGTCAGGCACTGTTGTTGATGTTGAAGGTACCTGCCTTTAGTTCAGAAGACTAAATCTACATAGAAATAGTACCTACCTCAGATAGGTACCTGGGTAATTAGTCGCTCAGAATCTTGACATCATCAGATCGACACTCGCTAAGTCGTTCTGCCGTTATAGTCTCCACTCCTCGATCTCAATAGTAGCAGCTCCAATCAGGACTAGACAAACCTTCATCAATGCAACCGAAACGACCAATGAGATTCTCAAACCACACCACGATGTTGATTACACCAACATCAAGATAAAAATTTCCGAACCTCCACGTGGATTGCAACCAACGTTAGCATTCGATGCTTACAATCCTTATCTTTCCTACTGGTCACTCAACAACGTCACATCGCTACCTCTTTGGTGACCGTGACACCAGGACCCAGTTACACCAAACCAGGGCACAAGAGCGGTGATGCAATAGACAGGACGAAAACGTGTACAGGCCTGGCGAGTTTGTTGGCTACCGGCATCTCGGCGGCAACATGGACAATAACGGAGGCGGGGTTGGGATGAAGGTCGTTACAAGCTTAAAGAGAGACATATACGCAGGATAAGCTTGTTTTCGTCTCTATCAAGGACTTTTGTCATAGTTAAAATGAAGTTTGTTGCGTTTCTCTATGCTTGTGGCCTTCTGGCTAAAGCAGTGACAGCTGAGTTCGATGGAAACTTGAACTACGCCAGTCCGTCTCGTCGTCATGCTCGTCTTGGAATCGACGTTCCGTTGGTCAAGCGTCGATCTTTGAAGCGTGGTACCGCACCTTATGATCCTTCCCAGCTCAACTTCACCCATGGAGTTGCTTCCGGAGATCCTTGGCCTCAGAGTGTTATCCTCTGGACCCGTGTTGCCCCCTCCACTCAGTCTGATGAGAGTGAAAAGGTGGTCAACGGCACCGCGGGACATTACAGCCATGAGACTGAGAAGTACATCAAGGCTGATCCTCATCCTATCTGTGTGGAGTGGAAGGTTTATGAGTCCAAGTCTGCTTCTGGATATGGGAAGACGGCTGCTAGTGGACGGGCTTATACTACCTCTGATATTGACTACACTGTCAAGGTGTGCATGGACTTTGAAACAGGGAGATCTTGACTGACAGCTCCTTAGGTCGAAGCTGATGGCTTGAAGCCTCTTACTACTTACTACTACCAGTTCGAAATCTGTGACTCCGATGTCAAGAGTCCTGTTGGCCGCACCAAGACTTCTCCTACCGCCAACGATGACGTTTCTGATTTGAGCTTCGCTGTGTTCTCTTGCAGCAACTACCGTAAGCCTAGTTCTCCCTTTGATAAAATTGGGAGCTAATGCTAATCGTTTCAGCAAACGGTTACTTCAACGCTTATGGCAACGCTGCCAGAAAGGATGAGCACGACTATGTCATCCATCTGGGAGATTATATCTACGAGTATGGAGCCAATGGCAGCCGGGCCAGTCAGCCTTCTACTGAGATCTTTACTCTACACGACTACCGAACTCGCCATGGACAGGTTTGTTTTTCACCTACTTGAGCCTCAAGTCTTTTGATGAGCGGCTTACTGAAATCTCGTTCAGTATCGCACCGACCCCGATCTTCAGCTGCTATCTCAGAACTTTGCTTGGATCCCCACTTGGGACGATCACGGTAAGTTCAGCGGGAATATTCCCAGGTCTGTCTGACGATTCGTAGAGTTCGCCAACAACGGCTACAGAGATGGATTCTCTGGTCTTAACAATACCGAAGAGTCTTTCTTGAAAGAGGGCCGCAAGGTCACCGTTGACACTCGAAAGGTCAACGCTGTTCGAGCTTACTTCGAGTGGATGCCCATCCGGTAACAATCAAATCCAACTCTACCGTCAGCTTCAACTAACCTCTATATCAGCCAAACTGACCTGGATGACGGCCTTCGAGTCTGGAGATCTTTCCAAATGGGCAAGCTCCTCGATCTCATCATCCTCGACACCCGAAACTATGACCGCAGCATCACCAGCCTCGACTGGAACGACAACTACATCGACATGATCCGAGATGATCCCAGCCGCACTCTCATGGGAGGTCGTCAGGAGAACTGGTTCTATCGATCTCTTAGTAAGTCTAAGGATCGAGGTGCCGCCTGGCGAATCGTTGGCAACCAGATTATCTTCTCGCGCATCACTGAGGATTGGGGCAATGGCGAGGTTCTTCCTGGTGATAACTGGAGTGTAAGTGGAAGACCGGCCTTTTGATTTCGTTCCTAGGTACTGACCTTCGAAGGGCTATGTCGCCAACCGAAACCGAACTCTTGAGCACTTGTACGACAACGATATTGGTAACAACATCTTCCTTGCTGGAGACAGCCACCAGAACTGGGTATATATGATTACCATCCTCATCTCAACTCAGCTGATGTATGACAGGTCTCGGATCTCGTTTGGCTTGGAACCAAGGAATATGATAACAAGACTGGCGCTGGAAGTATTGGTGTCGAGTTCGCTGGAACAGCTGTCAGCTCTAACGGTGTCGGTGGCCCTATCGAGCCTGCAGCTGGTAAGGCTGCTCGTGCCAGAGTCCAGAAGAACCCTGAGCTTCAGTGGCAAGAGGGCTATTACCGAGGATACTTCATTCTGGATGTCAATGCTAAGCAAGTCTCCTCTCGATTCTATGGTAAGTTTCAAACGCCTGATCTCTCCGATGAGTTTCACTAACACATTCAGGCTCTCCTTCTGTTGCCTCTCGCAACTCCTGGGACATTCCCCTGGCTAACTTCACTGTCGTCTCTGGTGAGAACCACCTGAAGCGTCCTGTTGCTGGTGGTCGTGCTGAGTCTGGCGCTCTTCGATACGGAGAGGTCAAGCACACAAACCTCACTCTCAACACTGAGACTGGCGAGTGGAAGAACGTTGGCTTTGACACCATGTACGTCAAGCACGATTAAGGGATTTCAAAAGTTAAAAGGACCATATAATTATGAATCGGCTATAAACAAAGCCTAATAAACCAATTTCAGTTTTGAATGCTATATATGAACTAGAAGGGGATGAAGCATTTTGGGGTAATAAAGAAGTAATAAGCCAAACAGTTTATCATCTTAACCAGCTCTCTAATCCCTCTAGCCCTCATACTCCTCAGGCTCACCCTCACCCTCGTACTCCTCAACCTCGTCGTCGATCTCAGCATCCTGGTACTGCTGATACTCGCTGACCAAGTCGTGCAAGTTGGACTGGGCCTCGGTGAATTCCATCTCGTCCATACCCTCGCTGGTGTACCAATGCAAGAAAGCCTTGCGTCGGAACATGGCGGAGAATTGGTCGTCGACGCGCTTGAAAATCTCCTGGATGGCAGTGGAGTTTCCGACGAATGTGGCGGCCATGGGGAGACCTCTGGGGGGAACAGAGCAGACGGAGGTTTGCACGTTGTTGGGGATCCAGTCGACGAAATACTCTGAGTTCTTGGTTTGCACCTTGAGCATCTGGTCTTCGATCTCCTTTGTTGATAGCTTACCGCGGCTAAACTCACGTTAGTTCATCTCATCTCATGTATCTTTTCATATCAAAACTTACAAAATCGCGGAACAAGTGAGGTATCGACCGTTGCGGAAATCAGCAGCAGCCATGACGTTCTTGTTATCGAAAATCTGCTGTGCAAGACTGGGCACAGTAAGATGTTGGAAGCCCTGCATCTTGCGACCAGTCAAAGGCGCAAATCCAACCATGAAGAAGTGAAGTCGAGGGAACGGAATCATGTTGACGGCCAACTTGCGCAGATCAGAGTTGAGCTGACCGGGGAATCGGAAACATGTTGTCACGCCGGCCATAACCGTCGAGATCAGATAGTTGAGATCGGCATACGAAGGATCAGCGATCTTCAAAGTCTTCTCGTAAATGTCGTACAAGGCCTCGTTATCGATACAGAAGGTCTCATCGGAGTTCTCGACAAGCTGGTTCAATGACAAAGTGGCGTTGTATGGTTCGACAACGGTATCAGAAACCTTGGGCGAAGGCATAACGGAAAAAGTAGCCATCATACGATCGGGAAACTCCTCACGAATCTTCGACAGAAGAAGCGTTCCCATACCGGAACCGGTACCACCGCCAAGAGAGTGCGTGAGCTGGAAACCCTGAAGATGCTCACAGTTCTCAACCTCGTGTCGCACAACATCGATGGCCTCTTCAACGAGCTCAGCACCTTCGGTGTAATGACCCTTGGCCCAGTTGTTACCAGCGCTGGCATTTCCGGCGACGAAGTTGTCGGGACGGAAAAGCTGGCCTAGAGGACCCGCGCGGATGGCATCCTGAGGACCGGGCTCAAGATCCACAAGGACCGCGCGGGGGACGTACTTATCCTTTGTGGCCTAAGGGATATTGTTAGTGAAAAAAGACGGTGAGTGAGAGATTGGGAAGACGTGCTTCGGCGAAGTAAACGTCGATGCGCTCTCGCTGTTGGTCGTCGGTTCCGTTGTATCTTTGAGAAATTGTTAGGTTGAGGTAAATAAGGGTCACCGACTCTTCATTCACTCACGCGCCGCTGCCGTCAACGCCATGCTCTCCAGAGACGGTTTGCCTGATAATCTGTCAGTCTCTTCACTCAAATAATCGCTGCAGTAATATTTACCAGAAACTGGAGCCGACTTGGTTGCCCTGCAATCATCAACTCAACACATATCCCTCAAAGCAAAAAATTGGTTGGGTGGCCCTTACACACTGGCCGACTTGAACGTGCACCTGTCAAACGGGGGGTCAGCCTCAGTCAAACTCAAATCCGACGAAAATAAATTCAGTCTCACAATCTCACGCATTTTTGCTGACGTTGCCTCTTACGCGTACTGGTACGGTACGTTACGTGGTGAAGTATTGAGGAGCTGACTTAAGGCTTTGCCAAAGGACGACGACTTTATTGACCAAGTGGTAAAAATGGTGCCTAAAAAGTAAAATGAGTGAGAATTCCGGTGCCTGGCGGTGAAAAGGCAGTAGCCTTGGTGTGGTCTGATTATGTACATAAATTGGCTGCCAAAAATTTTGCTGATATGAAATAATCTAATTTAAAAGTGCCGGATAACTAAATAATTGTGCGCTGTCGTTTTTCTGAAAAGTGGTCTTTTGGTTGCCGTGGTTGCTGAGTCTTACAGCAGGGTTGGCGCTGAAGGCAGCCGTATTTTCTGCGCTGTGGAGATTGATTGATAGGTGCTTAGGGGTTCCTTTGGTTCTAGGCTTCCGTATTACGGGGTACAGCGCATTTGATGAGAGTGAACATGGGGAGGTTATTCTGCTTTCAACGATAATTCGATATCAAGGCTGGTGGAATTTGTTACGGTTATCTCGCTTCTCCTTTTGTGGCAAATTGGATTGTTGACCCCATGCAATTTGAGGTGCAAATTACGCCAACGCTCCAATGAGCTAGCTGCAATCAAGCCCCAGATATGTTGTCTCGAACTAATTCCCAACTAGCAATGGCTTCAGCAGTATGCATAATCTATCCGTCTTTCAATTGTGCAAATAGGACAGATCACTTCAGAGTCCGCTGAACAGAAAGTCTAGGGTAGTTCATCCAACATGATTAATTCTGTGCTTCCCCATGGCGAAAACAGCATCGTGGTCCTTCCAATTTCATATCTGTCCTTAAAACTCAGTTCTTGGCCGTGCTGTCACGAAATTGTTATCGCGAAATGTATGCACTGCCTCACTGCTAAGTGTCCCTCTTGAATAGCGCTTTTGGACGACATTTTGATGCTTTGACGATGCTATCGGATACTAATACTCCGTCTTATACGAAGATGCAGTAAAGACTTGGCAAGGGAATCGTGCCGACTGGTTCAGAGTGAATGACAGCTGATAGCTTGAACTAACAAGTGCGGCTGAAAGCCCAACGAAGCTTGGCTTAACCGCCACATTACACATCTCCCAGCATTGCAAACCCCTCATCATCAACACATCAAAATGACAGAATCTCAAGCGTGGGTATTTGCTCAACGAGGTCTGCCATGGGACGTCCTCAATCTCACAAGTCAACCCATTCCAACTTTACCACCTCCTCTTCCCCTACCAAAAGACGTACCAAATCCAGAAGAATGGATTCTTATCAAAGTGGCCTTCGTAGGCTTGAATCCAGGCGCAATCTTCCAAATGACTCTCGTTCCACCGTTTCTTCGAAAGTCGGCTTGTGTTCCTGAGATGGACTTCTCAGGCACAGTGATCGATGTCTGGCATCCTGATGATGTATCCGGATTAGCACAGTCGAGGAGATTCAATAAGGGTGACAAGGTTCTTGCTATGCTGCCAGCTAGCCACACATTACCCACTGGAACAGGTGCCTTGGCCGAGTATGTTCGGCTTCCAGCTAGATATGCTGTGAAGAAGCCAGAGGGCGTGAGCTTTGCTGATGGAGCTGGATGCTTACTGCCAGGTTTAACGGCACGACAGCTCGTGAATGAGTCGGGTGCAAAGACAGGCGATCGTGTTTTGGTCAACGCAGCAAGCGGTGGAATAGGATCCCTTGTTATTCAGATGTTACGGAATGTTGTTGGGCCCGATGGATACATCGTTGGTATCTGCAGCGGAAAGAACCTCGAGTTGGTTAAAAGTATTGGTGCGAATGAAGTGAGTTGAATTATGTCTAAAATGGAATAAATTTAACTCACCTCGCAGGTTATCGACTATACTCAGCATGACCCCCTTTCCAAGCACCTCACCGAAAGATTCTCATCAGAACCATTCAACACCATCATCGACACCCTAGGCCACCAAGCACTGTATCTCGCCTCGCCCTCCTACCTCGTACCCGATGGCAACTATTCTTCCGTTGGCATCAAACCACCCACCTTCTTCGTCCCAGACTTCCTCCGCGCCGTGCTGCAGATGAAACTCAACGAATGGTGGCCAGTATCACCATGGCTCGGTGGTGCTGGACGAAGATGGCTGGGTACATCTATGATGAGCCCTACACTTGAGGATCGTCAGGCTGTCGCTGACATGTTGGGGCGTGGCGATATACAACTGGTCAGAGATAGTATCTGGCCGTTTTCGGAGACTAAGGAAGCTTACAGGAAGCTTGGTGGACTTCACGCCAGGGGGAAGATTCTTGTCAGGGTAGATGATAAAGTTGGCGATGATGACTGTTAGCTTTGATTCGTCCATAGGTTCTGATAGTACACTCCGCTCTTTGTTCCCTCATTCGACTCAAAATGACAAGAAAGTACGTTGAAGTTATCTTTCGTGTCTTTTTCTTCCTTGGTTAGTCACCTAGTAGCTACTCCTTGGCTGCGAAAGACCACAGGTTTTCAATCGATCAAAGAGAAATTGTATGTACAAGGTTAGTAAAAAACAAACCTTGAGACTGAATGATATATTGTCTGAGGAAGAAGTTGCTTACAATACTCTTAAGTATAAATCTTTGCCTTAGCTTCTCACCTTGATAGTTTTGACTCCTGCTCATCAGCATAGTATCTTTTCTACTTCACCTTTCTGAAGCTTATATCCAATATTTCTCATACTTTGGCCTCTGAACCCTTTGCAAAAGGTTCTCGGCCTCTAATATGACCTTAGCACTAATCAAGCGTATATTCATCCGCGGCAATAACGAGTACCGCCGTAGACTTCTCGCTGTCAAGCTGACCGGTTCTTTTTCTAACACAGAGTATATCTCTTCTATGACGAAGCCGGCTACAGTATTCACCATTGTGCCATACAAGGGAAGTGGCATCGACTGTTCTCCATTACAGTGCCCTGTCCCCAAAGAGCTCCGGGGTTTTCTCTTGATCTGTGAAACCCTAGATCAACGTCAGGAATATCACTACAACAGTCCTCGGCGCGTAGTCATGCCCATCACAGTGTTCTTGGATAATGGTACTCTGGGCGAGGCAGATACCTACGTCTTGCCCGTTGAGAGTATGAGGAAGAATATTGGGATGATTGGGAGTTGCGTGCGTGTGTCTCCTCCGAAAGACCCTATTCAATCTCATGCCCAGCAGTAGAAGAGCCGGCCTCAGAAATATCAGGTATCGAAGACGAAGATCCCACCGACGAATCGGCGAGCGAAGATCTGCCCACCGTGGGCTAGAAAGTCTGCACGCCTCTGTAAACCGTAAGCTCTATCATCACATACGTGACCGAAAGCTCCGAATCGAATCTCTAAACTGCAATGGGCATTGAATTCCCATCTTCGAGGCAACTATCACGACTACTGGATGATTTGGCGGTTAACATCGCCCTTTTGATCTAGTCCGGCATATGGAAAATATTTAGAGAGATGAGTCATTGAATAGGTAGCTACTTCGTGATATGAGAATAAATATTTACTATCTCTGCCTTCTCACTTCAAAGTTTACCTTCCGAGAAAATATACTAATACCTCTTTTGACTTGATCGTGATAAGTAATCCTGCTTCAATGAGTATAGGCATACCTGTCTGATATAAACACTCCTTTGTCGACAAACGGCGGTCAACCTTGCCGCGGATGACAACCGGCTTCAGATCACGGCAATGGAAACACCACGGAGAACACCATATCAATCGCTCAAATCCTCGGAAACTTGAGATCAACATGCCGGTAATCTAATCCTTGATCGGTGCCGCATCGGCTATCGATATCAAGCTATGGTTACATAGACGAACTCTTCGCAGGGAATAAGAGACCCACGAAGCGGGGTGACGATACGACCCAGGTTCAACTAACTGATAACTCTAAAGATTTGCTTAATTGATACCCCAGTTAGGAAGGTAACTATAGAACTTCTTGGGCGGGGGATTTGCGAGGTGGAGTCTCGGGCAACAATTCTAGGTCCTAGACTGAGGAGCAATTGAGATACTGCCAAAAGAAGTGATAACAAGAATACAGTCAATCATGGTTCGCCTAACTGAGTTATATGGAGATCAGGGTGGCTGTAGCATATAAGATCCGGGGATCGCCATGGATAGGATGCGACGGACCGTTTGTCACACATTAGCAGTCAGAGGTGATACCCAAGATCATTGGAATACGGCAACAAAACTCCAATTGGCGGTTCTAATTGACTTTATTACATAAAGAAGAAAAGGGCATCACGATGGTCTGTCTAGATCATGCCAGAAGCCTCGCGGCCTTCGCGTTCGGCCTCACACTCCTCGCAGGCCCAGCATCATCACTCCAAACCACCCTGGAACCACGCCAAAAGAAGAATGCCACAAGTCCATACACAGACGCAGTCTCAGACTACGTCGACTCACTCGACAAAGAGCTCTGGTCAATCAACAAGAACATCCACGACAATCCTGAGCTTGGGTACAAAGAGTTCAAGGCTCACAAGCTTCTGACATCGTTCATGAAGAAGCAGAAGGGATGGAATGTGACCGACACAGTTGGTGGAATTGACACTGCCTTCATGGCTGTCTTTGATGGCTCAGGTGATGGTCCTGTTGTGAGCTTCAATGCCGAGTACGATGCGCTGGAAGGATTGGGACATGCGTGCGGTCATAACTTGATCGCTACAGCATCGCTTGGCGGTGCTCTCGCGACAGCTGAGATCATGCGCAAGGAGAAGCTTGGGGGCAAGGTCATTCTCTTTGGCACACCAGCTGAAGAGTCTCTCGGTGGAAAGGTCAAGATGCTCGAAGCAGGCGTCTTCAAAGATGCCAAGATTGACATCTCTCTCATATCACATCCCAGCAACGGCCCCGACACGCCGTACATGCTAGCGCAGTCGACAGACCGTTTTGATGTTGAGTACACAGGTCGTGAAGCTCATGCCGCTGCTGGTCCATGGGAAGGCATCAACGCGCAAGACGCACTCCTCCTTGCCAACAGTGCTCTGTCCTACATGCGCCAGCAGATGCGCACGACGGACCGCGTCCATGGGATCATCCACTCAGCGGGAACCCGTATCAACGTCATTCCTGCTGATGCATCAGGAAGCTACCAGCTCCGCGCCGCCAACGAAGAGCAACTCGAAGAGCTTTCAGACCGTGTGTACAACTGCTTCAAAGCTGGTGCTCTCGGCACAGGCGCAAAGATGAACTTCACAACACGCCCATACGGCTACGCCAACATGAACAACAACGACGGCCTCGCTGGATCATACACACGATGGTTCGAGGAACTCGGTGGCGACCTCCCCGATGCTGATGTCGACAAGATGCGAGAGCCAGGCGGTTCAACTGACCAGGGAAACATTAGCCAAGATTTCCCTGCTATCAGCCCCATGTTCCAGATCACCTTTGCGAATGGTACTGTTCCCAAGAGTGGTCCTCACACAGCGCCGTTTGAGGTTGCAGCAGGGAGTAAGCCTGCCTTTGAGAAGGCACTTATGGTTGCTAAGGGTCTTGCTGGTGTTGCTGTGGATGTTTTGACGGTTGATGGATTCTTGGATGAGATTAAGGATGAGTTTAAGAAGACCAAGTCAACTGCTCGACGAAGGAGATAAAAACCTTGACATGGAGATGGAGTATGTGGATGGGCATCGACCAACAACGAACGTTGGTTGGCAGTACTGGAGTTGTATATCTACCGTTGATCAAGTAAAGCAAGAGATTTAGCCTGACGGAATAACATGAAACAAACCGGTAGAGAATCAGTTGAATCTACTACAGTGGGATTATGCAATTCGTTCTACCTATCTTACATCTATGTACTCCATCCGCATCACTCATAACTCATCACACCATGCTTCTTTCTATATGCCAGGAAGACCAATGACCTGTCTAACAGCAGGCACAAAGCGAGGCACAATGTACACAACATAAAAGGCCGTCACCGCAGTTAAGAGTCCAGTAAACTAGGCATCGTTAGCAATTACAACGTGAAAGACTACACAGGCTTTGCTCACCTTCTCGAACCATGTGTGGAAGTAAATGGCCGTCATGAGTAGCATCCAAGCACTCAATCCCATGACACCTACAGCAAACTTGCCGCCGAGGCCCAGGGCAGGTCGCTCCGAGCCTTCACCCAGAGATGTATCAGACTCGACGTTAGCGCTCTTGAGAGCTCCGTCGGTCATAACGACGCATCGCTCCTCATTTTGCTTGCCGGACCATCTCAACACAGCCCAACCAACCTCTTGCATAAGAAACGCAGTACCTAGTGTCAGGAGGAAGACGTGACCCGATATGTCATGTCCTCCCTTCCACTTTCCACCGGCAGCTTTGCAGGCTACTGCTGTGACCTTGTCACCAACAGTTTCAGAGCCAAATTCGACCTCCCTTCTAGCAAGTTCGCAGCGGCCACCTGTCCATCGGAAGCCACGGTCGATCAGAGCTGGCCCAAAGCACCACTGCGTAACGAGGAACCACATTGTTGTTACAGCAACCCATCGTAGACTCGCGCGAACACGTCGTCCAGTATCAGTGGTGCTAGGGTGGCTGAAGATAAAGACAAAGAATGCAACGGTGATCCACGCCCAGCCTCGCTTGACAAAGAGAACGTTGAATATATTGGATTTGCGCGCGAAGTAGCTCGGAGAAACGCTAGGATCTTGGAAGTGCGACTGCGCGATAGGATCGTACGGCGCTGCGCGCGTCTGCGGCGAGAGTATAGAGAAGATAGTTCCGAAGATCAAAAGAGCTGGAAACAACAAAAGCCCAGCTCTCTCTAAAGGAGTCGGCAGAAAGGGAGACGAGCGAGGTGTCGAAGTTGATCTCGAAGGAGAATCCATTACTGTATCGTTCGCTTCAGCAGCCGCCCTCGCAGCACGTCGAGTAGTAACCATTATAGAGAAGCGCAAACTGAGTTCTTAAGAGAGCCACAGCATTAGTAGAGGTCAATGACCGGCGTTGAGGGAGAGAGAAGGTTTGAAAGATGTGGCGCCAGATTGGCAGGCGATGACGTCTACGTACTGGCGCTAGTAGTGGGCTGCCGCCAAGGAAGCTCCAGGAAGCTCAGAGACCGATGACGGGGGGCGGAAAAAAGAAAGCTCCGACTTCTGACGTCTTGTAAATTATTGTGAGGTGGGGTCAATCACGATAACTTCAACTTTCAAATCTCGAAGACGAAATGCTGCGATGACGAACACGACGATTATTTTCGACGAATACGTCTGTGATCAAGTGATCATGGGATTCTCGAGAAATCGAATACGCTTTTGACGACTCATCCCGGCTAGTCACACGGACTACAGACACGCTGTCGCGACCTCTCTCATTCGCCCGCCCCGAACGCACAGAAACCTTCTTCGTTCACGATTCGCCTCCGAACCTCGCTCTCTGCACCCCGCGCCTTCGACAACACGACCATGCCTACCCTTATATACCAAAAGTCGCTCAATACCCATACCGAAGAGTGGTGTAGTGGTATCCGTCCTAGATCTCCTATGATCACCTAAAATCTCTAAAGTCCGCTCCTATGATCATTCTCCCACTACACCACTCTTCGTTTTTGCCAGTTGGCTCAAATTTTTATCGCCTGCCCCCGATCTCTCACCTCTTTTCTCTTCAGGTTTATTTCGTCAAATTCCGCGACGTTCGAACGCAGCCATCCCCCCGCTACCTCTGAGGGGTCTACCTTTATATGTCAAAATCACTGTCAATACCCATACCGAAGAGTGGTGTAGTGGTATACGCTCCTAAACTCCTACGATCACCTAAAAATT